CCCGACCTTTTCATTTGAATTGGTTCTTATGTTGCCATCTATTTCTATGCTCCACAGATAGAAGAAAATTGAAAAACAGTCGTCCAATCACATACTGGACGCCCATCACTGGTGGGCGGAGCTTGTGTGCCCTATTGGCTGTTATCTTTAATTAGCATTTTTTCTTGAAAACTTTCGCATTTTCCAAGATGAACTCCAGTTGTTCTACCACTAAGCACCGTAAAGAAAGGCTAACATACCCAAAGTGTTGAACATTTTCCTGACAGGACCAGTATCCATCTTGCCAGTGGATCGCAGCCAGTCGGCCACCTGTCCGGATATCAGAACAACGATTGCCATCATCAGTTGTGGCAGGGCCGAGATCAAACCACTCTGAAATCCGAAATGAAGTTTAAATTAACATAAACAGCTATGGGTAAGGTAGGTGGCAGCGAAGGCCTATGCGGTGTAGAATTTTTCATGAAAAAAATGAAGTAAATTAAGACTCGAATCCGAACCACCATCGCTACCCTGACGTAGCAAGAGTGGGGATCAGAGTCAACTAAGGCAATGAAAATTTTTTTTCGAAATTTTCAGAAGCCTTTGCGTTTTTAGAGGGGTCTCGATGCCCCCCCCCCACCTCCATGTCACCACCCTCCCCCTCCCCCCCCCATTTGCAACAGACCATCATCAGTTGTGAGGGTGCTTCTTCCCCTGAAAATCTCTCCTCTCTGAAAACCTTATGTACCACCCAGTTTTCAACATCACCGACAAACATTTCACGAAATACGACCTCACTCCCTCCCCCTCATATTCCAAGAACGACCCATCGTTGGCATTATAAATCACCAACGCACGGTTGACCTCTGCAAATAGAAATGATGAAAAATGTATAGACTCACATGTCGGATGTCCAAGTGAAGCACATCTCTCATATAGGTAAGCTGATTGCCGAGTAACAAGAAGAAAGTCCACGAACGGCAGAAGTTGCAAATAGTGATCGCCCAAACAGGAAGCGATAGCAGAATGGTTTTCCACGGCACCGTAGTCAGCTAAAAGTTCAGAATGAGATTCGTTGTCGATAGTTTTCGGAGTTTTTGCCAAAATTCAATGGGATCCGAAGGTTCGGAGCAGATCCTCGAATAAACAGGAGTGACACGCCTCACGGGGTCCGTTTTACGCATTCCGATTTCTGGAACCAAACAGCCTGGCGCTAAGGTATTCATGAAATTATCGTATAACTTCAGCGGTTCTGACTGGGGTTTCAGGACCCAAACTTTCTTATTTAGGTCCCTATTGAGGCTTTCTTCGAAAAAAAAAAAACTATATAGTCTCGATTAATAGAAAAGTCACACCCCTTACTGAAATGGGGATAACTATCGAAAGAAGTTGAAAGACCAACCGTTTCCCTTTAACTTCAATGAAGCACTTACTGAATAGGTAGCAAATACTTTTTTGATTATCAAATGGCTTATCCAACGCTTTATCAAGATGACACTAGGATGGAGCGTTAAGGAGAAGTGTCACCGGCCGCGACGGTCGATCCAGCATGCAGTTGGAGTTAGCGCGCCAACAGGGACTGCCTTGCGGTGCGTCGTTTGCGGAGTACAACTCGCGCCACGAGTCAGGCTGTCTCTATTTCGGCTCAAAGGCCTAAACTCCAACTGAGGGGACGTCGCGCGGTGACCTCTTCCTACATACCGAATCGGTCTCCTAGATATGTAGGCTTGTGAGCAGACACATCTTCTTTGCGTGATTCCTCTTTATTTTGCAGTATATACGCTGGAGTTACACAGTTCTGGTGAGCTTTTCGTCGAAAAATCGTATAACTTCGTAACAGGAGGTTTTACTGTAGCTCTCCAGGAAGTACTCATTAATTTCATGGCGTGGAATTAGCTCGTCCACACGCATGCGCCAAGCCACCACACGTTATTGCGTACAAATCACACTTTTCGAGTGAATCGATCAGTGCGATTGGATGATTACTGTATAAGAATTTGATTTAATAGTTGAATAAATTACTCACAGTCATATTTCCCATGACGACAGTTCCAACTTTCTCCACGATGAATGTTCGCTCCTCTTCCGTGATATACGAATGATCGTTGGGTGTCGCAGCTGACACATACCACCAACACAATGCCCACAGTATTCCCGAGCAACCTGAATTTCGAAGCTTTACCGTAACCTGTCTCCTCCCAATCCGGCTAAATTTACGCTTACCGACACGTAGAATGAAGCTGACCTATTGAGAAGTAGCTTGACGAGCCAGCGCGCTGACAGTCGGTAGAGGCGGATCATTACTCCACATAATTACCGGACGTGGGTGTGCAAGTTCTTGAGCGCTCAGCGGTTTGGTGCCAATGGCGCCATACACCAGGCATTGCTGGGTAGCTTGACACCCTGCAAAACTCCAGGCTCATTTTTCACTTTGCTACCAATTTCTGAATTTTAATTTATTTTTGGATTTTTTTCATCATTTTGTTGCAGTTTGTCCTTAATGGGAATCAGAAGTTAAAAGAGGTCACAGCTCAATAGAGTGATTAGGATTTCGTCCACTTTGCTGGACGAATACCCGATTTCAAAACCGGTCGCGTCGCGACCGCATGCGCCGATGTCTTGCCACACACGTGCTTTCTGTGTATTCGCAAATTAGTAAGATGTAAAACACACCAATGCCAGGCCCTGAACCACTTGCATTGCCATCACCATCACGTCCTGTGCTGGATGTATTGAAAGCGTAATGCTACCACGATAGTTCAGACGCTAGGCGATGCCACTCAAGCAGAAACACCTGGAATTTTAATTTTGGAATAGTAACAAAGTTACTAGCCTGCTAGAGAATTATTTTTGGAGTAAGTGTTCAAATTAAAAATATAGCACTTGTTAAGGATGTAGTAAAAAGATACAGTTTTCCTGAAAAATAAGGAGCACGGGGACTGGCGACCATTCAACGGGAGGAACAGGAACCATTGTGGTCCGCTAAGCACTTTACTTAACGGTCTGAGCATTATCGGCGCGGTTAATTACACAGCTGCTGGAGTGGCAAATTCCACTCATGAACTCATGAGTATTTTTTCTGCTGCTTAATATAGTCGGACATGGATTAGTCCAAAGATAAGTACCATCACGCACTTCACCACCTTTTTGCCCCCTCACTCCCCCATTTTGAGAAGTACGGCACCAGCAATGCATCGACATTGCATCAAGGAGTGCTGCAGACAGACGGGCTTCCAAGCCTGTGAAAATGGAAGAAACATAGAAAAAATTTCGATGTGAAGGTGCCGAAGAAGCGGTGAGTTTCTGATGGCAAGTACAAAGGATAAAGGATAAAGCATTTGCCGTTGATCAATCCCTTTTTGGGATGCGGCACGCATTCTACTTCCATTTGTACATTCGCAGTGGCGTTTGAATGCGATGTGGCCTATACAATGACTTGCGGGGGCCAGCCGATGTACAAGTCAGTGTTTTTATCCTCCCAGACAAGTCTGGTACCAATTAACCGACCCCGGAGGGATGGAAGGCTTGGTTGGCCCGGGCGACTCACGACCCAGGATTTGATCCCCGGACCGCTCGCGTGGTGAGCGCGCCACTTGTCACTACACCACTTCCGCCCAACAGTATTGTTGTAAACAGTAATTATAGAATCGTAGGGAAAAATCAATTGGTGTGTGTATGAAAACAGTGACGAACTTATTCGGAGCAAATTTCGCCGCTATAATACCGGCTGGAATCTGTGACACGGCGTAACCGTAGAAGACGAACTTTCCATCATGCCTAATTCGGTTGCTGTCCATGAGAATTCTGGCTCCTGAAAATAGAATGTTCCAGTCCAACCCGGCAAATGTATGCGCAGAAGACAGCTTAGTGAAATTTAGTCCATATGGTATTTTATGAAGAATTTTAGAGATGTGAGACATGATTTTTTCACCGGTTGATTCAGAATGCGTAAAACCACCCTGAATTTTATTTACCATTTTAGGAATAATGATTGTATGGTGAATGTTTTTAAACTGTTTAGGACACATGAGGTATAGACTATCCATGTACGCGTCTTAATGGAATGCGCAGCTGTGCCACTGGCTATCTTATCTTCGAATAGAATATATCACTGCACAGTTGAGGCCTACTGAGTATATGAGTTTCACATATCGCCTTTGCCTGAGAAGAATTCCTGGTACTCGCGGGACTATCCGGAAATGCGAAAAACGCGAACGTAATCCTAAGATAATTCATGAAGTGTTATGAGATGCACTAATGCATTCAGAATCTAAGCCAACTTCCGAATCGGTACTCAGAAGAATCCTCGTGGGAGCGAAAACAACGAATTTTACAGGAATACAGTTCCTCTGCCTGAGAAAAAAAAACTCAAAACCTTTCCCGAAAAGCGTTCCAGTTCGCACCTCCCGAGATTTTATTTCAAGAATCTTCCCCGGCAACTGCGTGATAGCAAGTAATAAAACAAAATTTGAATGTAATTTAATTAGACGTATGACATGCTTAGATTTTAACTCTGTGATAAAACCACAATTACCGAAACGAGAATCCGCTCAGGACCCGTTTTGACGACCTTACTACGTGCAGGAAAGCGTGTGTTCAGCGAATATGGACCGTGAAAAAGACAGAACCTAATGGAAAACCCGACAAACCGAATCATCCACGCGTTAAGACTGGGAGCGGATCCTGCTAGTTTTGGGGTTTCCATAGTATAGAAACACAAGCTGCCTGTCTAAGCCGAATGCCCAACATTTCCGGGTTAACGGCGTGACCCGAGTTTTCAGTAAAATAAAAAGAGGTTAGGTTCCTGATTAGAGCTGACACGGAGTGTGCCGGAAATGGGCTTGAGAAAGCACCATGCCATTTGACAATTTGGAGGTTTTAGAAGCATTTGAATGATTTTCGGACCAGAAGAACGGATGTGCAGACACTATAGCGTTACAATTCGGTAGGTTTACCCTTTATAGCGTCATTACCACCTCACCGCCCAGGGGCCGTGAGGTTTGAGGAACGAAAATCCCTGTAGATTTGCTCTGTCTTCCCAGCTGGGGTTGTCCTGATAAAGGTCCAACATTTAATATATGTGTGGTAGGTTCAAGTAAAGATTCACTGAAAACTTGAGAAACATTGTTCGTTCGACAAAAAAAATCCAATGGATTTTCGTCCCCCAACCAAGTGGGGAAGCACACCGTACGGCCCCAGAAGAGTAAGACCATTTTCGCGAATAAAAGTGGAGTGCGTGGCGCATATTCAAAGTGGAGTTCACATAATAATTAACGTCACAAACTGATCACATGTCTTGGGAAGATGCGCCATTGCAGTATAACTTTGCCACTAAATTAGATTGGTTATGAACAGCTTCTCAGCATTAAGATGAGCTAACTCACGTGTGTTCGCAAGGCGTCATTGGAAGTTATTCATCATTCGATTTTTCGCCACACCGAAATTTGCTCGAATCCCAAACGCTATCGCAATCCCGATATGGGCTAGGATAGAAATCTGCCATCGCACTTTTTTCAAGAAAGAAGAATCGGTCCTGTAAAGAAATCATTGATGCTAAACTTGAATACAGGAAAACCAGTCCAAATCGATCGCTGTCAACATTCCAATGATTCGCGGAATTTTTGACACAATTCTGCAATTATTCTTTTCCTTCCGAGCTTTATGGCTTTATGTATTCAAGCCAATCCCGGAGTGACATCAAACCGGTGGACATTCGACAATATTCCGTCATAAACTCCGGCAAAAAATAGCTTTTGACAAAGCTTAGAAAATACCGGCGATACCGCAATATACGGCGGTATTCTAAGATTAAGCTTAGGAGGGGACAGAGCCTCCATAGCGGGGAATGAAGATTCATCACACGCCCTGGAGTCAGGCATTACCATAGTCCTGGTTCTATCAACAAAAAGGTCGTTTCACGCGGTTCAATGCATTCCGACCACAGTGCCCCTGGTCTTGCGATAGGGCCCAGCTCAATACTATGCATGATTTATTATGTTCTCGTGCAATTGGGATGACTAATTAATACGCGTTCGGTGAGTAATGGACGTCGGTTCCACAATTTCGTAGAACAGCCACGAACAAAGCGTCAAACAACAACATTCGCCGAATTGCTGTGTAACAGTCATCCATGATAGCGTATCAGCACAGAGATAAAACATGAAGAAGTCAAGGTTACGGTATGAAAAAATGATCAAACTTTTCAAAAGGTCGAGGAAAAGTGTTTTTGTTTGGTTTTTGGGGCCCCAAAATACGATCGAAACTGGTCAAATTTCAAGATGAAGAATTCTAATCGCTGCAAACTCTCAGTGGGACAAAGAACGGACTTCGCTGTTAGCAGTACGGAACCTCCCCCCCACCTTAAGACTCAGAGTTTAGATCAGAGAGGGCTTTCCCTTTAAATGTAGCCGCTTCAAGCTGATGGATGAAGGAGTGCGCCGACAGAGAACGATCAATGATTTATTCTAATAAATGTTCAAAAGAAATCTTTTCTAACCACCGAAACCAGGTCAATAAGTATTAAGAGGCGACGTTCTTTTTTGCAAGGTCTCAAAAACTGTGGAGCGAATCCTGCTCTCTGAGCTAGTTCTACGACTTTTCTTCCAATAATTGGAGATAAATTTGAAGAGATGGAATGAATTTAGACTTCGTAATTTTCGACTAGTGCTATTCAAGTCCACGGCTAGTAGTAAACAAGAAGATTGAGAAACAATGATTGTTCATTAACCCCTCTATAATTGGTGGTATTTTATGTAGGGCTTGTCGTTTTGAATCACAGACCTGATCAATGATTCCTTACCAGGAAATGTTTTTGACTTCCCATGGAACTTTGAAAGGAGACCTATGAACATCGATAGAGTTTCGGACGCTGAGTACAAATATGGACATTAAAACTGCTACGTGAACTTTATAAGAAAGTTACGAGCATTCAAAGTTGGCAAAAAACGTTACTGAGGCGAGCTCACCTGATGAAATCACGGATGCTTTTTGTCTGGTTTCTTGTTCTATAAGGGTTAGTGGGTGCCCTGATTACGAATTTGATACTCGTTTTTAGCGCAGAGCCACGGCGAGCGTGATTCCATCAGGTAAGCCTACCTCAGTAACGTTTTTTGCCAACTTTGAATGCTCGTAACTTTCTTATAAAGTTCACGTAGCAGTTTTAATGTCCATATTTGTAATCAGCGTTCAAGACTCTATGGAGTCATCTAGGTCTCCTTCCAAAGTTCCATGGGAAGTTCAAAGCATTTCCTGGTAAGAAGTGAAGTATGGTAGAGACATCTTGGACCGCTATAGCCGAGTTTTCAAATTTAATTCCTAATTTATTTATCCAAAGATCTTTAACAGCAGATGGCCGCTCTGTGTTTCGGCGTCTAGAGGTCGAAAATGTAAAAGTACAGCCCAGCTGAGTTCACGTGAATCAATCCTTCAGGTACGTAGAATAGGGCGATTCAAGAAGGTTGCGATCGTCCGGTTCTCTTGCTCTAAAGTGCCCAGCCAATTCTGCAAAGATACCTGCCGTTCGCTCTCAACTTGTTCTGTTCCGCAGCATGTTGGTGCCTGCTCATCTCTAGTGCTCTCTCGCATACCATCCCTGCACGCTCTGCTCGCTACACTGCCTTTAGCGAAGAGTTGGCAAGAGTGAATTAGTACGTGTTAGAGATTCTCTAGTTTTTATAACAATGGCCGGCTTACCATGGCACCAATGTTTTATTCCGTATACCTCAGAACGATCCTGTAGACGTCTTTGAATGGTCAGTCACGTGTAATAAAGGGATAGAAGAAATTTCAGAAGGGACTATGGGATCAGAACCTTTCTCTCCAACATTAATTCAAACCTCACATCGTCGGAATCGATGGAGTTGGATCGTTAGATCTGATAGAGCAGGATATGCAAAGCAGGGGGGAAGGAATGAGCACTGTTGTGGAGTTCCTCTTGCGGTCGAATGGGTATTCATAAGTAACAATAAGGTAAGAGCACCTCCTTTCAATTGACATACTAGTTCTTTACCCCTGTGAGGCGGATTCGTTGAATCTTATCTCAAAACCAAGTAGTCTACCAGTTTGCATGGAATGTTTGTCTGTTGACAAAACCACATATTTGTTTGTCCAATAAACTTCCGGTGGGTTTTCAACGAGAAGACGTCAATATTGGCTGAACAACTTATGAAGTCTTTTCCAAAGCACCACGTCACAATACGGAGAGCCATGTGCGTTCCATGGTTGATGTTTGATCAAAAAAGCGTCGTGGAATACCCTAACCGTGTAGACGGTAGTTCTTGCAGTGTCTTGTCGTGCAGAATTGTTGCCCTAATAACCTTCCAAAAGGGCAAGCTATGAATGACGTCATTTTCGCGACAGAGAAGAACATACAAAAATCGCCATGATGGAACACGAGACTCTAACCATAGCTGGTATCTCCTACAAACAGGTCTATCGCCATAAATCACGGCTCTCAGAAAAACCTGTGGTTTATGTTCAAGAGCCCTGAAGGGGCCTTGTGAGCGAGTTTAGCGCGCTCCTAGAGGTGGGATTGTCAATTATGATAATATGGAAGTACTGCATCAGAATCTTTAGCCAAGTTGGTACAACCTTGAAATCAATATCTTTAAAACCCCCTCCTCTTCCATTCTCGGTCGCCCTACGAAATCCAATCGTAGGCCTTTGACTGGTATGAGTGATGGTTGTGGATGCGAGCTGGACCCTACTGCCACACTCTCACCTCCAGAAAAACCATCAGCAGGCGGCCAAGTTTAGGGTGACAGATTCTTTCAAAAAACCTCATTCTTCAAAAAATTTTGGCCTTCTTTTACTGTTCCGCAAACTACACACAATTGCGCGCAGATCAAACAAAAATAAAGCGGCTCCCAAAAGACACCAATCCCCCCCCTCCCTCCGTTCCCCCTGCTTTCTCACAAAAATACATTGGAATACGCGAAAAGCCTTTTTTTGTTACCTAGCCCTCTGGACGCCGAGCTGCATTGCGGGAAATTTTATGTCTGTTCTAGAACTGCGTCCAGTTCCTTACTTGCTTCAATGTGGACTACGCGTATGTTACTACAAAAGGAGTTTCTTTTACCGCTCGCACCGTACAATTACAACAAAACTAACTGTGGTGTAATATGGATCGTTTTGCTTGAAGGCTCCAAATTGATTGATAGAGTTACGAGTTAAATAAGTATTATTGTATTCGAATTAATAAAAAGCAGCTAATTCAGGTACTTTTCAAAAACTAATTGTTCCAAATCCATCTGCAAAAACAATCGTAACTCCATTTTCAGTATAGGACTTCAGAACTTAAAGATAAATTCTGAGAACAATTTCAGTCAGGAGATTCAGATGAGACTGCGTTCAGTTAGAATTTCATCTGACGAGCACTTCGCTAAGATTAGCCGCTCAAAAATAAACCCGCTCTAGATTGGGTAGGCTCTTATTTCAGTCGAGTTATTGTGTTATAACCCAAATTAGTCAGCAGAGTTTTCGAACTGACCGTCTCGACAAGTGAGTGCAATTGTTCGCGATGTTCCCATTTCTTTGTGGAAAACGTCCGTCGAACCGAATTCGACACCAACTCGCCCGCTTTCCGAATCGATCGTGTCGTGACCATATGTGCTGAAAAAAATTAGTTCAGTCTTTGAAGAAGTGGAAATCGTAAAGGAACGAATTCTGCAAAATATCGCCTAACCAGTTCTGAATGAGAAGATTTATGAGCACAAAGGTGGTGAAGGAATGCTGATGAGAGTAAACAAAAGTAGCAACTTGAAACAAAACAAAAAGGACATCCTTAAAGGCGGTTCACGATAAAAGGCAGCCCATTAGAAATAAGGGTAGAGGTGGTCAGTGGTGCAGGATGAAGAAAAAACCATGAGAAACGGCCCAGAACCCGAGAAATGGGACCCCTTCCTTGCCCGTTGATTTCCGCATTGATGCGACTCTCATCGATGCTGCCCTCTTCAACGCTAGCTCTCTCTACTGAAGGGCTAGTTTTCCAGATCGCGAGGGGGTGGGCGTGCCGCGGCACTAGCGGCACGTAGACGACCGCTCTATTTCTCCTACTTTTTTCGAGGTTTGCTTCATTTTAGGAGGCCCAAATTCTTTCATGAGTGATAAAGGCATATAGTTCCATATCACTGGGACTGAATATGTAGAAGTACAACAGAAGTAGTAAGTATAAGCTTTCGTACGCATAGAGTCGTACACGTAGACTTTTCGTACACAAAAGTTCACATCCATTCTTTGTCCAAATTTCCTGCACTTTTCTATCACTCTTCAATCGAACATTATTATGTGATGCTTTCAGACCAGACGGATTATGAGTGCAGAAGGGATGAACCCGTTACTCACAGTTACCAGACCGGTAGGCCGCATGAATCAATAATTCTAATTAGCTCAGGAATCGTTACTCGTGTTAGTTTGTTGTCACTTTGTTCAGCAATAAAAAAGGAAAAAGATCGAGCCAGCCTTCGTCGAGTAGTCTTTTCAGGAATGCGCCATGCACATTACTGCAACTTAGAGTCTAGGTGACAATTCAACCCGAAAAGTTGACCCAAAATTGTGGGTTATTTTGTTGTAAATTTGTAGATGCAGTTGCCAAAAAGTGAGCACGAAATTGTTTCTGAAAGAATAAACTGAAATGCTATTGCAATACTTCAGTTCTTTTACCAATGGGATACCGTAACCATACAACTAAGGGGTGGCAATCAAACATTTTAGGGGTAGGCTAAATTAAAGAGAGTCCGAGTGGCGGCTTTCATGTCCTTAGGGGGACATTTCAACGGGACATTTGAAAACGCTGGTAGGTGACACTAAGCCCACAAGGACCTACCAGTGTCACCTACCAGCGGTTTCAAATCAAAGCTTGTGGGAGTAAGTCCCACATGAGAGGAGAAATGTCAGAAAGGGCAAAGGTTGCTTGCGCCCTCCCCCACTATCCCTTACCCTCCCCAACGTTTAGTCCCAATTTATGTACTTGGCTCACTCACTTCAGTGTCCCTTCTAGCGAAATAAGCGCCCAAATGACTCTTATAATCTTATAAAAATGAAATAAAATTGAAGAGGTGCATATGAAAGAACAAGCCACGACAAAGGAAAAAATAGAAACTGTACTTTGGTAGCGGAACGATCAACGACCGACCGACCGACCGAGCGACCGGTATCGGCTGATAGTGGAAAGATTCTGACGCGTTACGGAACTCCTTTATGCGGGCGTTACCGCAAAGCGCAATGACAACCATTCATCAATTCTTTATGAAACCCCGCCCACGTGACATGAGAAATGTCTCTGGGAATCTTTAGAAGTTCTAGACAACCGGATAGACGTGGCGCGAGGCCGAAGGTGAGCTAAGGGGACGGGGGAGGGGAGGGGGTTGGCGGTTGGCGATCGTGCGGAAGGAAGCGGACGCGGAAGACGACCAAGTGGAACTATTATATAGTATTCTTTACAGACGCCTGCAGGATTGTTACGACAGCAAACAAATATGAAAGTGATCTATGGTGGTTACGTCAAACATTTCACAAACCGCTAACAACAGTGTTTTTACACTTATCGATTTATTGATTCATTGATCGGAGTCTAACTATATGCATTGCTCCTCTGTAGCCCTAACCATCGCAAAAAGTTTCAGAATATCTGCTTTTTGGACCGAGCGATGAAATCTTTTCTGGTATCAGATGCAAGATAGAAGAACAATAGAAAACAGGAAGAAGAGAGAAAAGGAACAAACAAGCGTGATTACAAATTATTAAATCAATAAAATCAATAAATAATAAAAAGCTAATAAAGCCAGGTTTACTGTAGCTGACAGTTGTGCTACGCCTTCGATAAAAATGCGCTGAGAAATCAAAATGAGAAGATGAAGAGGCTCCGAATACGCCATGTACGAGTATTATACCAGGAATCAGAAGCTGAACTTCGATACAGTAATCCCTCATATCCTACCGTAATCAGCCATAGTAACTTGGAACATATCCGAACACGTTACGATCGCTTTACGATAGTCAGCTAGCCAAAAGGCTCTTTATTAGAGCGTCAGAGGCCTCACGCCAGCGCTTTGAAAGCTAAGCGGACTAGTATAGTCAAGTGGCCAATAATTAACCGCACAGTGTGACAAATGACTGGAAAAACAATTGTCTAATCACATTTCAAGTGCGATTAGGAACGAATGCATCAGCGTGGCGCAATCGATAGGAACCGGTTCTGACATCAGGAATTCAGATCACGCCATTATGCTGGCCGGTAGATCTTCGGAGCCCACGGAGTAGAAGAAGAAAGCCCCAGCAGAACATGAATCGCATGCTTTTTCGGCCAATGAGTGCTGTTCGAATGGATTGAACCCCTGTGCAGACGAAATGCATATTCACGTGCCTTCCATAATTGTGGACGTGAGTTGAGGGCAAGGCGCATCCACAAAAGGACTCGTGACATTGTGCTTTCAAAACACATTCACCAAACAATACTATAGCGCAGATTTATCCCTGCTAGTACGAATAACCAGATGCGTGCAGTCCAAAGGGATGAATAGGGAACCGATTGCAATAACATGGTTGAATGTTTTCGGGCCTCCGGACGGATCTAGGAACCCGTTGAAGACCCACGGTGTATAAGTTGTATACAAAGCATTAAATTATTACTGTAGTTGCCAGGGCTACTATCTGGCAGAATAGAAAACGACAGAAATTAAATCAATAGGTAATAATTAATGAAAGATAGTTATTAATTAAATTTATGAGAGGTTAGTTAAAACTAATGAAAGTTGTATGACCATTGTTCCTTACGAGTATTCGAAAGCATAAAAAGGGGTTCCTTACGTTTTCTTCTCTAGTTTTTTGCTAAAAACAACTCATTCGAGATTAGTCGATCAATATAATCGCACTCTACGGTATGTTATCAACTTATCATTCACATAGTGTAAAACTTGCTAAGGATTTCACTGCTCAGACAACATTAAAGGATTTTACGGGGAATTTACGCAGGAATGTGAATGTAATACAAGGTAGGTAACTTGGGGCTGGATTCAGAATGTCGAAGAAACTTGACCCGGTTCCTTCAGTTCGCGTCAATTCCCGACCTCCATTGTTCAAATCGTGTCAATCCTCGATCTTCTTTGCATTCTCGTCCCTAACGAGCTTCTCATACCTTATGTGACTTTGTAAATTCCAATTCTCCACCTTGTTGAATGTTTCAGCCACTTCTGAGCTCCTGCTCCCCAACGAACACCCATCCTCGGATTCGCAGTTGTTTCTCACATTACACGCATCGATATTGAGCCAGCGGCTGCTGTAATTTGCCTACCTGAGCTTTGGTCTTTCGCTGCAGGACCATGGCAGAAGTGGGTGCACTCGCGAAAATCGGTCAGATGATTATTCTCTTCATCAGCGCCATTATAGTTTAATACTCATTAACGATTTCAGTTTCTAGAGAATGAGGAAGAATGTCGGGACCAGTAATGGGTGCTATTGCAAGATATGGGGCTATTGCAGTGGCGATGCATCTAAAATCACGTAAACCATGTTCCTTTGAATGAAAAAGCCTTAGGTAGGGAGGGAGAGGCTCCACAGTTAGTGAGCCATTTTCATTTTTTCCTGATTTCCTGCTCCTCACTACGCCTGGTCCTAGAATGCCCCCTTATATTGCGATAGCGCCCAGAAATGTATTTGTATGAGCAGAAAGATACCAAATGGGGACTTGCTCTAAATAGAACGTGTCATGCTATATGACCAAAAAAAGACCATAGACCAACAGGCTAACTCTTTACTTATTCAGGTTTTAGCGTTTAAGAGTATCCAGAATAGTCAAGCATCATCTGCCGTACAATGGTGCCCTCCACGGTCGAGCATGATGACGAATACGCAGGATGTACACCAAGAGGTCATCACGCGACGTCGCGCGTCACGTGAGGTTCACGTTATTCGGGTGCTACCCCATGCACAACCTTTCCACCCTCCCTCAGGCGTGTGCTATCTCACCGTGTCTGCCCTTTACTGGTCCCCACGCTGAGCCAACACCTCGAGTGAATTGCCCTGTAACGACGACATAACGTGCGCGATGCCGGATGGTGATCCCTTGCTAAACACCTTGTGTGCAAAAGCGAAATGAAGCAGTGCGATTACTTGTGTGGAGAAACTAGACGACAAACGGTCCACGGATCAATCGAATCTCCCCAAGCCACCAAAATTTTACATCCATTTCTCCGGCGTCAGTTAATTGGTCGCACCAGACTTGTCTGTGAGATTATATGTAGGAGCAGTATCGGTGAATCAGATTGCAGCTTTCATGGGCATTATGGATTACCAGATTAACTCGATGAACACTCCATCGTTCAGACGCCAGGCCTACTGAGCGAGTCCTGTGGATTTTTCGGATTCATGTGAACCTGACTTCTTCGAGCTGGATGAACTACCTCAAGATGTAGGGGACATAGTGATGGCGACGCATTTGAACTCGCTTTAACCATCTGTTTTTGGCTATAAATGATAGTGAGCCTCAGTGGGAAAGAAAGTCCTGCCCTGTTGGCTTAATCTTAAAGATGCTCTCGTATCTCGCGACAGCGCTTATGGAGCGTTCATAGTTGGCGATTAGGCGATTAG